TTAAAACCGAGACATATTGTGGATAATTTTTGGATAATATTTTTTTTTTTTTGGATAATTTATTTTGTCTGAATTTCTGGGATAAGGAGTTATGTATACTTTCGTCCTCGTTTTTACAACGTTTCGGCTGGTGTACCAACAGGTTTTCATCCGTTGTGCAAGTTGCGGCAAAATGATCGGACACATTTCTAATTTCAATAAAAGCGAAATAGAGTAAAGAATGAAAAATGTGTTTTTATTTTCGAAATGTACGTATAATTCTATTCTGTTTCCTTAAGTTTCCAACATGAAATGAATGGGTGAGCATCGTACTTTCATCGTAGGAATGTTTATGAAGAATAACGAATCAGTAACTGCAACACAAAGTGCTATGGTCCGCCCTACCACTTGATTTGAAGCCATAATATTTCTTTTTCTGTGGGGATACATGAAATCAATCACCCTCGATCTAATGAAAAATTAAAAGATGCCATTCGTCAAGGAATATATATGTATATGTGTGCGTCTATTGTGTGAGTGTGTCTGTTGTGTGCTGGTGCGTATTTGGTATGTGCTGGTGCTTCTGTGTGTGTGCTTCTCTGTGTGTGTGTGTGTGTGTGCGCGCGTGTGCATACTTTTGTTACTCAAATGAAAACTGGATCTATAATAACAAACTTAATTATGAAAAAGGAATTTGTACAAATTGGGTGTTCTTAAAAGTGGGGGGGGGTTTAAAGGTAGTCCTATAAACAGGCTTGATGGGTGTGTGTGTGCGTATATATATATATATATATATATTCTTCACTTATCCTGTATCTAATCAGATTTTAATAGGAATTACACCCACTCTTCAAGAGACTTAATTGTTAATAATATACATGTACAATTATATATATATATATATATGTGTGTGTGTGTGTGTGTGTGTGTGTGTGTGTGTGTGTGCGTGTGCCTTTAAAGGAGTGCCCTTTGCCGTGCTGATGTTGCTACATGCCTTACTTCTTGCCTATCTCACACTGCGAATTTTTTCTTTACGAAAAAAGAACTAAACAAAATGAACACAAAACAATCAGCTTTAAAAAGGGACTCGTAACAGGAAAAACCGAACGAAAAAAGAATGTTAACAACAAATACTTTTTCACACCCAACCCAGTTCTGCGGAATCAGAATCAACGTTGAGTTTAAGCAAGCGAATGAGCCAATTGGAGTAAAGTGCCATGCAGATTTAAATTTTTCCCACTTGTGAC